AGGTCCCCAGGACGTGATACAAGGCAACCAATGATCAATGTGTAAGAATGAGAAACATTACAGGTGCTGAGTGACCGCTGATATCCTTCCGTGACTGACTACCTGGTGCCTGCCAACCGGCGTAGCTTGTGCAACATACTTCAATAATGCGTCAACGTGAATGCAGTGTCAGAGAAAATCTATACAGCTAGCCAAGATGAGAGAGAATTACTGCAAGGCTTAGTGATACAATTGACTCAGCAATGTTTCCGTTATGATGCAGTACATTTCCAAAGTTGCCCATTTCTTCACCATCTGTTATGCAATTCGAATCTCCGCAAATGCCTGGCAAGAACGATTCATAAAAAATGGTCTTTTTGTTATAGATACAAGAACATGTGGCTATCTGCGAGCCGTGACGCGAGTCTTCCACCAGTCCCGTGGGCCCTTCGCGGCGATGCATGGAGCTCTTGCTGCGTCGTGTAGGCGAGTGCTGCCAAATCAACTACGCTCACAATGGAGAAAGCCTGCTGCCCATTGAGATGTAGTTTATAAGGAAATGTGGTAGCTAAAATTTCTCCAGTAGTCCTTGAACCCTGTTGATGCTCATCTGAGAGGTCATTGAAGTAGGACACCATTCTAGAGGACGGATTATACGGGCTCACAGACACATGCAAGCGCCGTCTTTCGAAGATGACAATGGTAGCGCCAAGTACTTGGGTAGGAAATCCAGTGACGTGTATGAATAGCAGCTCAAAACAGACTGATATGGGCTCGAGGTACCCAGCATAGTTGTACCATTTATTCTCGAGAGCATAATGCATCGGGTTTCTTCAGCTATCAGGCCATTGTGTAGAACCAGGGATCAATCATTAGCTCTTTAGCTACAATTTCATACTATAGATACCATTAAATCATCCTTTTCGCAAAAGCAGCAAGGCCCGGTTTTTCCCTGTCACCAAGGGCTTGACTGTTCCTCAAAGCAGCTCAGTCCTTCAGAGGTGCTCTCGGGAGGGAAGGGTACCACATAGTATCAGTACAGCATTTGATCATATCAAGTTAGCTAATCGTTGGACTGATAAAACGGGGCTGTCCGTCTTCCATATAGTAGGAGTTGCTCTGGTGGCCGCACAAGAAGTCCAAATATCTGCTCGAGTTGTGTCAAGTCGCAGGCTGGTCATGTCTGCAAATCAACGGGGAGCCTATGTCCTCCCCACAGGATCTCACAGCTTGTACACGGGAATTGGGCCAGCTATCGAGAGCGCCCACCAAGACAATACAGGGTGACGTGAGGAGAGACTATGAGTACACTTGCCGACGCGGAACGTATCATGGCTACCAAACTCTACATGCCGGCACTGTGCGCGCAGCCTGCCTCAAGGGCGACCTCTGGGGCGCGGCAGGCTTCTGCGCGAATACAACACACTCACTGCTATCCGCATTGCCTGATATAAAAAGACGGAAATCTGTGACCTCAATGACTCAGTGGGCCGAAGAAGCTGTCCATGATTGTTTCGTGATGAAATGAATGACCCGATCACTTGTGACCTTTGACGTAGTGAAAATTGATACTGATAAAGCGTCTTTCTCGAGAAGACCCAAATCTTTTGAGCTCGACCATGACATTGTCGGTTCGAATCTAGCACCGAATCAGCACAATTCGGATCACCAGCACAGAGGAGCACGTTCATGTGTGAGTATTCTGGCATCCTTGATGCATATGGTAGAGGTGTTTGAAGATTATTCAAATCTCCCGTTTGAGAATCGTGGGGGATGTGACATTGTCAATGAATCTACGACAGTACAGCCGCAAAGACTCGCGCAAATGCTCGAAAACGAGGCAAAGGTGATGATGTCCGGACACGTCTCGAACAATGCAACGTTCTTGGAGCGAATATGCAAAATACTACCCTTCACACGCATTGTGTTTCTTGGATATCCGCTCGCATTGCGAGCTCATTCCCCGACGCCCATCGCGGGCGGCGGCACTAATCTTCATCGCGAGGCACTTTTCGAGTAAAGCAACGTATTTGACGGCATGATTTAACATTCGGATTCCTTGAAAATAGGCAGACTGCTAAAACGGAGCATATCTCGAGCCAACCATGCAGTCGAGCTTTATTCGTAGCCAAACATAAACCGCAGCCGAGCTTCTTTGTAAAGCTGATATCGTTTATTGAATACTTGGTCAACGGTCCGGGTAGGACAGGCAAACAGGCAGGGGATTGTAGTACGGTGTCTTTTCTTCTTCAATAGGGAAAAGAGAGTCACGCCAAGGTGGCCATCTACCATCAAAGGAAAAGCGTGGTTTTTGAAGCCTGGAAGAGATGAAGATATGGCAGAACAAGTGAGGTGAAGGCGACTTGGGAGAAGAACCCTTTTCGTACTCCCATATTCTGCCACACTAACTGAAAACCGGTCTTGCTGACCTTGGAAGACATAAAAAGTGTTGATCGGGGTACAATACTTGATGCACAAGTTCTGAATGAAATCTAATAACTAACTATTAGCTCCATTTGTCTTTGCTTTTCAACCAATCAATTATTCCCCTGTAGCTCAGTTGGCTAGAGCGTCAGACTGTTAATCTGAAGGTCGCAAGTTCAAACCTTGCCGGGGGAGGATCATGGATCCTCCTAATATTTTGCCTTGAGCAAAAGTTGATTTTTCGCGTCGTTGGTCTAGGGGTTAGGATTCAACTCTTCCAAAGTTGAGGCACGGATTCGAGTTCCGTACGACGCACATTTTTTTTTATATATCTCAGTTCATAAACATACACGTACCGCAAGGCTCTGATGAGCCGGCTATTCGGCGTAATATACAGATTACATACAATAAATGAACTAGTGGAGCAAACACATCAAGGAGGGCTTTACAACTTCAATGACAAGTAAATAGGCTACCAAAAGATATAAGCGTATGTCATGGCCTAGTTAGATTCCACCCATGTTGGATTTTTTTTTCCGCGATTTGAGTTTCCGCCAATATTTTCTTCCTTGTCTCTGGTAAAACCTGATTAAAGGCTAGAGCTCGCCAAACAGCTATCAGTAGCCATATAACCATGACCATTGTCCCGAGCACAGGGCAAGTGACGCAAAACTGCTCAAGCGTTTTTGCCGGTAACTAACTACCTATACGGATACTTTAGCTCCACGAAAACCGTTAGAATTTGGCCGCCTGCAAGCGGGGTCGGTCCGTTTGAAAGATGTCTACTGCGAGAAAGTTGCGTGACTTTGAATTCTTCTTGACTTTTGGTGTAGGTTTCGCTCCTCTAAAACTTTAAAACATCATATGCCCCATTTCACAGACAATCGCCCAGTCATTCATTGCTGGCTCAAGCCTTGGAAAATTAGTTGTCATTTTGCGTCGCATTCGACAATAGCCAGACTCGGACCCTGCTTTTCCGAGCTTACCATTTTCTCTGTCGAGTTGCATCAGCTGTGCAAGGGAGGCTCGGCCGAGGCACACATATGTTTCTTTTGTCACGTCTAAGGAATTGACAAGGCTTTTTTCTGGGGCGGACTGGCAGATTGGGTTGAAGCAACTATTTACAAAAAAGTCCGAGCCAGATGTTGCATTGTTTCCTTTTGTCTCAACGTCCCTCTTATTACTACGTATATTTGGCTGCAAACTCCACTCAGAATTCTACAGATCACAAAATTGATTCCTTTGCGCAGATCCGGCTTAATTAGTACATGCCGTGATGGCCTAGTGCTACAGTAGTATGGGATAGTCTTGTAGCTTCGCAAAAAGGCGCAGCCTTGATCGTCATGGGCCCCTGCACAAGAGCATGTAACCGCTTTCTGAATTCTTTTGATTCCATCACGGATACTACGTGTGACGGGGCAAAATTTCCGAGCACTCATCAGGCAGACGCGGCTGGCCAATTGATCTGATGATGGCTCAGCAGGGTTTCTGTCAGGTTTGCGCCTGGCCGTGCACTACCTCCAATCATCCCTTTGACGAGGCGGTGGCGCTTTGTGGCGTTACCAAACTGCAGGGACAAGGGGGCTTTGTGAGAGTTTAGGCGGCGCAGAATTCACCGTATTCGTCGGCGCTGTCGATGGGAGACGATTCGTGCCCCTGCACCTGCAGAAGCTTCATTCCTTTTCCGGGGAAACGGGTTGCAACTAGGAAGCCAAAAAAAAAGGAGACAACTGGACACGATTTGGGCGAGGGCGGGCACAGGAAGAAAGCATTGATGAGTGCTTACAGAACCGATTCAAGAACCCCGAGCTGATTCAGCCAATCTTGTCTATTTATTGAGGCGCAACTTGACAGGCCATGAAGAGGACATAATGGCACAAGTTCTATCTTCAGCACGCGGCCCGTGCGAAACAGGCGTTGTGAGACTCTGTTCCAGAACTCATCACCCACGGTGATGATACTAGTCGTCAACCCAGAGTGATTACCCCGGGGGGCTCCATTTCAGCTAGTTTAAAAAGCAACGTAAATGTCGCTTCACTCATCAGCCTAACTAGGCGAGATTGAAAATCGAGTCTGCGCTCTGACCCTCTCCTGTCACTCCCTTTACAAGTTAGACCAGCAAGACCAGTTGGCTTTCCGATCCACCAAATTTGCCTGATTTCAGAGCGCCACCTCTGCCCCTGCTCCGCGCCGTTCAACCGAGTTTGGACTAAACAGATTTTTTGCAACTTTTTATAATTCAACAGTGGGCTAGCTAGCCCAGTTTCCTGCCCGCCACAGCAGTAATGGCGTGTCTGTGCGTCGTGGGGTGATGGCCAAAGAGGGAACGCTCACAGTATGTACATGGCCTGACAGATACAAACAACCCCAGAGATCAGACAAGATGCCGTGACTGATTTAATAAAGGGGGAGAGCCAGGCCATACTTGGTAAATTGTATGTAGTAAATCTCGATTTCATATATCTCGTCTCGTCTCAAATATATTACTTGATTTCTCTCAGATCTAATCAGAGCGCAACTCTCCTGGTAAAAACCAAAGTACCATCGACACCGTCTCTATACTGTCGGGTTGACTACTTAGACCCGAGTCAGGCAAGATGAAGATTCTCTTCTTCTGTACTGCTTTCAATTCATTATCGCAGCGGGCGTACCTGGCGCTCTCGGAACAGCACTACGTGACGATTGAATATGCCTTGTCCAATGAGCTCATGATTGAGGCTGCCGAGCTTGTCAAGCCCGATCTCATCATTTGCCCGTTTCTCACGACACTTGTGCCCGCCCAAGTATATAACAACTACCTCACCCTCATCGTCCACCCTGGGCCGCCGGGCGATGCTGGCCCAAGTGCCCTGGACTGGCTTCTCATGGGCGACGACGGAACAGAGCCGGACAGCAAAAAGCTCCTCCAACGCAAGTCGCTGAGCGAGCAAGGACGCCCTTACTGGGGCGTCACCGTTTTGCAAGCCACGGCCGACTTTGACATGGGCCCAGTATGGGCGTTTGAGCAGTTTGCCGTCGACATTGACCAGCCGCACATAACCAAATCAAGTCTCTACAGAGGACCAGTCACCCGCGCCGCCATCACCGCTGTCCTGAAAGCAGTAGACCGCATCACCATTTCCGCCGATGCAAGAAACGCCACCGCTCACAAATCCGCCTCACCGCCGCCGCCGCCGGCCAGTATCAGTATGAGTGCCGGAAAGGGCATCACCGAGCGCTCCTCGAACAAGGCCGCCGTAGACCCGAGCCTCGTCGCCAACGCCGTCTTTGCCCAGCTCTCCGTCACCACCGGCCAGCCCTTCCAGGGCGGCAAGACGCTGCACCGACCGCTCCTGCGCGCCGCAGACCGCGACTTTGACCCGAGGATCCACGACGCCGTCGAAATCTCCCGCCGGATACGATGCGCCGACTCGCAGCCCGGCTGCCTCAGCAGCCTGTTTGGGCCCAAGCTGTACCTGTACGGCGGCGTCGTGGACAGCGGCAAGCAGGCCGCCGGGTCGGCGCCCGGATCCGTCATTGCGAGCCGCGAAGACGCCGTCTGCATCGCCACGTGCGACGGCAAGGGCGTCTGGATCACACACGTCCGCCGCGTCAAGGCCAAGACGGACGCGTCGCTGTGGCCCAAGGTGCCGGCCGTCCAGGGACTCGCGGAGCTCTCGGAGCACAGCATGGGATACAAAAACCTGCAGCGCGTGGTGTCGATGCGCGGACGGCAGCGGCCCGGCAAGGAGGAGGAGGAGGAGTGGTCTAGGGCGACGAGCAGCACGCTGCAGGACATTTGGATCGATTTCGAGCCGGCTTCTGACAAGGACGGCAACATTGCATACGTCTTTTTCGATTTCTACAACGGAGCAATGAGCACAAAGCAATGTCGACGGTTGCTCAAGGCCCTGCAATACATTCTTTCAGTGGCTAATGAAAAGTCTGTCCGAGCTCTTGTGTTGATGGGAGGCTCGTATTTTAGCAACGGTATTCATCTCAACGTCATTGAATCTGCCGCAGACCCGGCGCTCGAGTCATGGTTCAACATCAACGCCATTGACGACCTCATATACAGTATCCTGCACGACTTTCCCGGCCGCGAGATCAAGACCATTGCCGCCATTAGAGGAAACGCCGCCGCTGGCGGGGTTGCCCTGGCCACCGCCTGCGATTTTGTCCTCGCTGGTGAAGACGTAGTGCTCAACCCGGCCTACCGTGCCATGGGTCTCCATGGCTCCGAATTTCACAGCCTTACCTACAATGCCCGCTGCCGCGGCGATCACGGCAAGCGGATCCTACGCGACATGATGCCTCTCAGCGCCAGCGCCGCCGGCCACTTGGGGCTCGTCGACCACGTCCTGCCCGGCTGGGGTGCGAGTCTGGATTCCGCCGTCAAGGCGCAGGTCAAGGCCCTCATCCTCACCTCGGTCCTTGTCGGCGGCGGCGGTGGCGCGCGCCCAGACTCGACGGCCGAGTGGAAGCGCGGCCTGGACCTGTCGAGCGGCGCGCTGGCGCGCATCCGCGCCGAGGAGCTCGCCGAGATGGCCAAGGACTTTTGGAGCCCCCGCGCGCGGCGCTACCACCCGCGACGCCACGACTTTGTGCGCAAGGCCAAGCCGGCCGCCACGCCCCGGCGGTTTGCGCTGCACCGCAGGTCGGACGGCCTAATCGTGGACGAAGAGGACGACGACCGCTTCGACTCGGTCGAGTGGTTCGCAGTCAAGGAGAGCGTCGTGATGATGACGACGATGACGAAGACGCAGCAGCAGCGCCTCGAGGAGCTGGCGATTCCCAAAGAGCCGGAAAAGGTGTATGCGCGCAGCGTAAAGGCGCAGTCGGCCAGCAGCGGCACGACCGAGGGGCTGAATTGGAGCAGCAAAGAAGCTGTGCCCAGAGCAAAGACGCGAGGGACCATATTTTGCTGCTATTATGATCCAGAAGACGAAAAAGGCGCCATGGAGGTGTAATTCAGCGCTGTCAAAAAAGCGCTTCTATTCTATTTACAGGCGAGGCCGGGGGTGGAGGGTCCTTCAATTTATTACATGAGCTGGCGCAGGGTTATCAGGAACATTTTGTTTGCGAGCCATTATTAATTCCTTCCTCAAGTGACACATTTACCTAATTATATCCCAAAAACCAAGAGACCAATATTCAGAGATACTCTCCTACTTGTTCTGCCATGTCCCGTCTTGCAGCGTCTTTGCAATAGTCTCTGCAATATTTTTCATCCCGGACAATGTCGTTCCCTGGCGCAGTTCCTGAGTCGGGCCTGGATCATTATACACCGACACCGTCCTGGTATACGCGACGCCGACTTCCAAAACGGTGCCGCCGGGGTAGTCCTCGGACTCGACCAGCGACAGCATGGCCTCGGCCACCTCTTGCGGGCTGATGAGCGCGTGCTTGTCGGCATCGACGAGTTCCTCCGGATGCTCGTGGATCATGGGCGTGCTCACAGCGCCGGGCGCTATCGCGCTCACGCGGATGCCCGCCACGGCCTCCAGGTGCGCCAGGGAGCGCGTGAAGCCCACCACGCCATACTTGGCCGCCGCGTACAGCGGGCAGTGAAAGAGGGGCGTGTAGCCGGCAATGGACGCAACGTTGACCACGCGCTTGGGAAAATCAGGCGTCTGTCGGCCTGCATTCTCCGGCTTCAGCCAGTGCTGGAGGGCCAGCTGCGTCGCGCGGATCGGGTGCGTGAGGTTAATGTCCAGCGCCGTGTAGTGGTTGGCGTCTACAAAGTCGCGGCTCGGGCCGGAGCCGGGCGGGTGCCAAAAGTTGGACGTGGGAGGCTCAAAGACGCCCGCGCCGGGGCACAATATGTCAAAGCTTCCAAACTCGGAGACGGCCTTGTCGAGCATGTTGCGCAGATCCTCCCACGCGGAAACGTCCGTCTTGACAAAGACGGCGCGCGGCGCTCCGTCGGAGCTGCTGCTGCTGCTGCTGCTGCTGCTGCTATACTCGCTCAGCAGAGCCTCAGCCTCTGGTCGCAGTTTAATGTCGGCAATAACGACATTGCAGCCTTTGTATAGGAGGAGTTTTGCAAAAGCAAAGTTGATGCCTAGCGAGGTCACATGTTAGCCGGTGCTCGGGAAGAGGGGGCTTTTTCGGAGGGGAGAGAGGTCTTTTGCTTGCCTGAGCCTGCGCCGGTAATGACGGCAGTCTTGCCCTGGACGGAAAAGGGAGCCATCTCTATACCCAACTCAAGTGATGATGAGTAATGGTATCGGCCGCGTATAAGAATCTGAATGGATTCAAGTTATATCCAGTGTTACATCGGTCGCAAAACAATAGTGTGTGGGTAAAGACAAGTCGCCGTGTCGAAATTCGGCTGGATACACACACACAAACATATATATATACGTAGTCGACGCCAAGTACGAGTCGTCTGGTCCACAGCGAGGCTGCACATCTATTTGTTTTGTCATTTGATGCCTGACCCCTCCTCATCCATCCATTAGCGCGATGAACGGGCACGGACTTTTTCCTTTGGGAAACTCCGGAACAGAATGTCATGGTCTAATGCCGTTTTGCATATACATTGTACATGCGCAGCAGTGGAACAATAAAATGCCATGTATTGAATTCGTGCGTTTCACCGCAGTATTATGGGGAGCCGCGGTCCAAGGCTGAATGGGCCAAAGTATATAGTCAATAATATACATGGGAAGAGGCCTGACAGGTCATAATGTACATGGACGAGGTGTTTTCAGCGCTTCCGCGTATACGTCCAAGAAATTTGCCACAGGCTGTCTCGGAAAGGGTGACGCTCTCCAGAGAACCGGCTCTGTCTGTCTGCATCGGCCAATTACTTTCAGCTCCGCCAGGCAACGCCATCTTGGTTCAGCTGCGCGTCGCGAATAGCGCTCGTCATCGTTGCGCAGCGTCGCTGAACCCGCAAGCCAAGCATACGAAATCAACCGAAAACGTAAAATATCCGAAATATTGCGGGGGTGTTTATCGTAAGATGCCGTCGCTTTCGCCTGGAAGTCGTTCCACGCGCTTCTGCTCCCAGTTATCCAAGTCTTTGCCGCCCGCCAACCTCTGTTTCGCAATGATTAGCTCCCAAGTTCTCGTCTCCATGGTTCTCAGAAATTTCTGCATCTGCTTGTTGCCGAGCCAACGTACATAGTATTCTTCGCGCATGTCCACCTTGCGCGCCGAGCGTCGCACGTTGAGCTCCTCGTCGCGCGTCATCTGGCGCACACGACGATCGTGCCGCTCGTAGCGAATCGCCGTCGCCGGCGTCAGGACAAAGGAGCCAGCGACAATGACGGCCAGAAACGGCAGGCCAAACATGAGAAACGGGTGCCTGCTCATGACAGCGCGGTACTTGGCGCCCATGGCGCTGGCCTCGCCGGTGGACCGAAACTTTTTGCTCTGAAAGGTCGGCATTGTCCGTATGTGGTGAGATAGTGGCTGGCTCAGAGGCAATTCAAAAGATTTTATACTTGTCGGGGCATCGATTCGGGGGACTGGCCGTCGACGTGGCGCGAGCAGTGCAACAAAGAGAATCAGGCAATCTGCAAAATTATGGTTATGACACATGTGGAGCCAGCTTGCCAGCATTGATACTGATGATCAGACTTTGTGTACACGCGCCTATGCTGTATTGCATCATACTTTGTAAACATGTTAAAAACAACCAGAAATCAATACATTGATACTATGTATTTACATTGGCTTGCTTGCAAAGTGACGTCGCTAAATAACCATGCCCTTAGTCGCTTTCTCAGCTATGCAAAAACCCCAACAGAATGAATATGATGCCAGCTTCCAACCCAGCTTGCCGCATCCTCGTCCTTAATTCCCTAGTCGTAACAAAATGACAGGATAAAATATAATTCGAGCTCATCATAAGTCCCGCGCCCGCGCAAAGTGCGAATTCCATGCCGAGTCCGAATGCAAGCTCAGCATTTAAAATTTGATGCCAGTACAAAAAAACAAGAAGAAAATAAGCCCGCTAAAGTTGTACAGAGGAAATGTATCGTGGGAGACGGCCACGACCGTTGCAACGTGCAATTTGATTACTGTGCTGTTGCAGGAGCACATTTCGCCTTTCCCGGCTCAAAAGCCGTTGCACCATCCGTCTATCTCTCGAGTCGCGGCGGAGGTGATTGCCATCCGTTGATCACTGCCATCATACCCATACCAATCAAGACAACGCCCAGCATCGACGCATATGGTAGCCCGCTGTAGAGTCTGTCATCTTGCAGCGAACCCCTTCTATGTGCGTTCAGAGGCGTGATAGTGTTAGCTCTTGAGATTGTCGGGTTCTCCTCTGGTTGCGCCAAAGCACCACCCTTGATGCTCTCATTTTCAGCTTCATTGGATCCGGCAGAGCTGGTAGCAGCGGGTGGTTTGTCCTTTTCGGATGCGATGTGACTCTCGTCTTCAATCGCTTGTAGTCGAACAGATGAAGCTTTCTCTTCGGCCACGACTCTGCGAGCCTCTTCTTCTCGCAACTTGGTAACCATTTCGGCGAGTGATGTCCGACCGATATCTCGCTCAGTCTCCGCAGCTTCGCACCTTGTTTTCCACTGTTCTATCTGATTTCGGAGCTCATCTACCTGCGCTTCCATGGAGCTAAGGCGCGTCTGCAGAGCATTGTCTACCTCGTCCGCTTCGTCATGAAGCGCTTCGCTTTCTTCCAGTAAAGGTTCAGTACTCTCATTTGTGCTTTCCAAGACCAGAATTTCTGTCGCTGTGTCGTCGTCATCGTTTGCAAGCGTTGCCGCAGATCCATTCATTTGAGTCTTGGCTGATTCCTCGAGACGCATGGCCAGTTCCTCAGCCAAAGCTCTCGCTTCTCTTTCTTTATGCAGCATTGCTTCAAGCTCGCGCATTCTGGCCGTCTGCGTGTCCATGTCTCGCTTAGCATTATTAAGTGCTTCTGTCAACTGGATAATCTGGCTGACATTGTCTTGCCGAATCGGTGAAGATATTGCGTGACCGGATTTTGGTCGCTCCCCAGCTGCGCGTTTCAGTCCAGGTACATCAGGCTTCTCTGGCAGCGGTTGCTGGGGTGGTGGCGCAGGAGGATCGGAAAAACGGGTCTTTGCGTCTGTCCTCAACCCAATGCCGTTACCATTGACCATTGGGGAAGGCTTCGGAGCCTCTTGAGCTTCGGTCTTTTCAAGATCCTTGATGTCTTCTTTTGACAGTAAAGTCGTGACAAATTGATTTGTCCGGCTCAAGTCTTGCGCTTGTACCTTGGCGTTCCGCATCTCCGCAGCCAGACGCTTCATGATCTGGTCAGTTGCAATCGGGGGAACGAAGAACGGTCGCTGTTGCATCATGCCATTAGGTTGTTGATTTGGTACAGCTCCATTCTGAACCATGCGCCCATTAGGGCCTACTCCAGGATTGTTGCTAGATGGTCGGCCTCGCATCTGCATTTGCCCAGATGACATCATCATTGATCCATTGGCGGGATCAAGATCGCCGAAGCTCATATCCAGAACATTGTTAGGGGCTGCCATGAATCCCGCGTGCTCAACTTTCGCTGACACTTTGTGGTGAACGACTGTCTTTTGGTCTTCGCTTACGATATCAATGCCGAGTTCAAGGTGGTCGGCAGTCTGCAATTCGTGTGGTTCCGACTCCCGATTCTCTTGGGACAGACGTGTGCCATTCACGAATGTGCCGTTTGAAGATTTTACATCGCGAATGAAGATTTTACCATTTCGCTCAGCGTAAATTTCAGCGTGCTGTCTCGACAGGACCTTGCTGTCAAAAAAACCGTTGGTGGGTGTCGGTAGAGTTTTCTGGTTCGTTTGACGCCCTATCCGCAAGCTCTCCGGAGCAAAAGGTACAGCAATTGTCTTGCGTTCAAATGTGCCGTTCATGGAAAGCAGGTAAAGAAAAGGCTGCCCTCCTTGGGGCTGCTCTGGTCCGGCGGGTCGCATCATTCCCTGCTGTGTCATTTGGGATTGTCCACCAACGCCGGCCGACTGCTGCACGATACCATGAGGCAGCATACCATTAGGTCGGCCGTTAGTTACTCTAGAGAATTCGGCCGACATGTCTCCTTTGCCCGTGGGCCATGGATTCTTAGGTTGCGGCCGTTTTCGTTGCGGACCATTGGCCGACCATTGACTGATGTCGGATGTGCTCGACAGAGGGGTGCCGTTTGCTTGAGAGACGTTCGTGGCAACAGACGTATTCGAGGAGTCTGAGGATATTGACGATGATGAACTGCTCCGCGCGAGGTTCTTGCGAGGAGCAAACATGCCTCGCACTTCGTCTGGGTTCACGGGGCTATTCCCATTAATAGTACCCCATGATGAACGCGACACTTGAGGGAACGCTAGCGGATTGGCGACGGCAGTCATGAGGAAGGACCGATGTTGTTGGCGTCAAGTTGAAGTAGTCGCTGACGGTACTGCGATCGTTCCCGCCGAAAGTCGTGTTGTGAGGCTCTATGACTGGAGCCGACAAGCGACCATTCAGTCGGAGCCGCAGTGGGCTTTTCAGACGTGTCGTTGGATAGATGCTTCACAGTTCGCAACTCGGTGATGAGGAGGTATTCAAACGACGCTGGTGATTGTTCTATGATGGGTAGGACTTAAGTCAGAACCATTGAGCTGTCGATCGGGAAAGAGCGTGGAGCTGAAGAAAATTGCACGGAGCGCTCGGCGTCGACTTGTATCACAGAGTACAGCGATACGCGCACAATTCAAAAAACTTACCAAGATTGAAGCGAGTTGGGGCGACTACAGATTTTGACGACGTTGATTAAAGACACGGGGGCTGGAGCCGGAGCGAAAGATAGTGTTGGACACCACCCCCGTCCTGCCAGAAGCGCTTGCGAAGGTCGCACAGTGAGCAGCACATATATCGACTCGTGGCATTTGTGGCACGTACGTCACGCCACAGCTACCTGCTTCACGTAAATCAAAAATCATGTGCAAAGAATTCAATACAGCGTTGAGGAGACTTCTGTCAGGTATTTAGGTACTTTCCTACCTGATCTCTTGATTCTTTTTTTCTCAGAATCGCTTCACGTGAGGTATATCTACAGTGCGTACGTTTAGCGTCCAGAGAGTAGGCACTGTGAGGAGCCCCCTGGCGGCCCGCAACAAGGTTTATCCGCAGAGCTCGGTGCTCCCCAATCAACGCCCGCGGTTTGGAGACGAGCTCGGCGGAATTTGGTTGAGTGGGTGTACAATTGTCGAATTCGTCAGGGTCTTATGCCCCCCTAGGCCGACAACGAACGAGACGGCGTCTAATAGCACCAGAAACTACAATGCCTCCTGTTGCCAACGTCCCCATGGGCGGCCAGCATGGCCCGTCCAACTTTGACAAGTGTAGGAACACACTCGTTCGACGCTTGCGCAGTACCGTGTACTAATAGGTTGCAGTCAAAATGGGAGCCATGATGGGAGGGAGTATGTTTTATCTTGGGACGGACTATATATCACGATGACTAACAAGATATCTAAGCTGTCGGCGTCATCATTGGCTTCATCTACGGTACGTCACCGCGCCGAGTTTCTTTGTGCCGAATACAAAAGTTAACAATACGCAGGCACGGTGAGCATTTTCAGACATGGCGCAGGATCGCAAGGAGTCTTCAGAACTCTTGGACAGTTTATGGGTGCTTCTGGCGCTACGTTTGGGTGAGTAATGTGCCGCTTGCCTCCGCACTTGCATGTCTAACCGCGACCAGTTTCTTCATGTCCATCGGTAGCGTTATTCGATCCGACGCCGATCCCAAACTTCGCGAAGCTTACATGCGAGCGCACCGAAGACCAATCATCATGATGGCGAGTCCAGCCTGGAGGAAGAGCTCATGAGTCGTGAAGTGTGACCTATGACAGATGCTGGCAAGACACTCGAGCCAATCTGTTCCAGAGTTACGACTGTGTCAAAAAAAGATGGAAACATCACGTGTACAATAGCGATACCATTCTTCGCGCCACTCACTCGAGTGTGTATAGGCCAATCCCTGATGGAATGCATATATGCCAATCGTTGTTCACGTATGTGACACATGATGATTTAGCAAGCGCTACAGAAACGCAGCGAGCTCTTTGCTAGGGTCCAGCGGCTACTGAATTGAGCTCAATATTCTGAATAGCCTAGGCGCAATGTGCAGTGAAAGTGTACAAAACTCATCCAATTCGTGATTGTCGTTATATAGATCGCATGGGCGTGACGAGACTCCTTACCATCAACGAAAATGTCCCAATTATGAAATGCAGGTCACATGCTATACATGTTCCATTCGTAGTTTTAAAGGGCCGACTTGGGAAAACTGTCGCTCTTCTCAGCTGACTCGTCCGTTGTGCTCGCATCTGCATCCTTTTCAGTTGCTGGTAGTGGTGGCGGCAGTTCACTTCCTTCTCCAGCGTCCTCCGTCTTTGCAGACGCCTCTGCACTCTGTTCCGAGACATTATCACTGGGTTCGGCTTCCTCTGATTGGCGTGACTTGGATGCCACCGCCTCGTTGCTGGCTGAGTCCTCGTCGTGAATTCTCAGCGCGGTCTCTACATTCTCAGTGAGCCTCTGAACCTCTTCATCGACCTCCTTGTTGCGCTCCTTTTGGCTTCGTAGCTGCCTCTCAGCCTCCTCTTCGCCAACGATGCCACGCCACATCTTCTCCAGCTCACCGCCCCAGCCAAGCTCGGCAGCCAGCTGGCGGACACCGTCATCGCAGGGTCCAAGCGACACGACATCGTCTGCTCTGGTTCCGATCTGCCCAACTTTCTCCATGTTAAACAGAACACGCGGAATGGACTCCCGCACCATCTGTGGTAAGCCGGCAAAGGGATAGACCTGCAGGCTTGTTCCGATGATGAGGGCGAGGTCAGCCATGGCTGCTTTGTGGCTCTGCTCGGAGAATGCTCGCGGCAGTGCTTCTCCGAAGAAAACAATGTCTGGCTTGACAAGGCCGTTGCAACTCCGGTCTATGCATCGAGGTACGTCTCCGTTGTGAACATGCGTCTTCATCTCGTCGTCAGGGAACTCTTTTTTGCACTCAACGCATCGTTGGGTGGCAAAGCTTCCGTGGGCCTCGATAATCTTTTCTGGAGGTACACCAGCAGCTCTCTCCAGACAGTCGATGTTTTGGGTAAAAAGCATGTGCAAAAGACCCTTCTGTGCCAAAAGCGACAGAAACACATGTGAGACTGTAGGGTGAAATTTGCCAGGATACAGCTCCTTGGCGAGCACGTAGAATGGCTCAGGATTCTCTTTGAAGTACGATATCTCAAAAACGGCCTCTGCGTGAGGCAAGTTTAGGCGAGCAAGGTTGTTATACAGCCCAGTCTTTGGGGATCTGAAATCCGGAACTGCAGGGTGGGTCAATGGCGGATTTCACGACGCTGAAGGGGTCATCCTACTTCCTGCAGCGGTGGAAATCCCGGCACCGGTCATGACCACAATGCGTTTGACATCGCCGCTCTTGATGTAGTCGGCAACGGCTGTGATGCTGCGCTCGGAAAGTGTCTGTGGCGGTGTAGACTCGTCCACCATGCGTGACTCTTCTTGACCCATCTTGGAGCGAGCCCAGCGCGGGATGCGGGGACGCTGTTGGTGCTTTTGACGACGTCGTCGTCCTATTGTGGCGGAACAAACTTGAGCCTCGGATGGAAACCAATGCAAAAATAATCCCGACGCTTCGGTTGGTCGCTCGGTGTCGGTGTGTGAAGAAGGCTTGTCACAGTCCGGCAGGCAGTAGTTAGTAGATGACGGTGATTTTGTGAACCTTATCGATAAGAGACCATGGAGTGAGAACAGGCACGCAGCCTGAGCAAGAAGTGCTCGCAGGCCAAAATCAAGGGCTATTGGCATTATAGCCGTGCTACTCTGTGCAAGGCCATGCTTTTTGACCGTGCACAGTGACATTCAGTGACGCAACAGGAGTGGCGGCACAAGCGCTCAAGTCCCCAGCGCTGAAGTCTCTAGCAGCGGAGCCGCTGTGCTGCGCGTGATGGAGGAAGGGAGCCGACGGGTACCAAGGCGGAAAAACATCCTGAATTGAATTCCTCTATAAACGCCTAACAAATGTTGAAACAATAAGTGAACGCCATATAACTAGAAAGGAATGATTTAACCGTGGCGCTGCCTGGCTTGAGCGAATTGTTCTTCTTGCAGACGAGCCAATTCCTCCATGGACATGCCGCTATTAGCGAATTTGTCTGATTTTTTTTCTCGGCCCTGATTTCTTTTTAGTAAAGTCTCCATGATAGAAGCGGGGAGTAAGCGTCGTATATGACGCGTTGCCGGATCATCTCCTGGCTGAGTGTCGCGTACCTTTTGCACTTCTTTGTGCTCTGCAGCCGCTTCCATAACGGCTGGTACGTAATCAGAGAAGCCGAGCTGCTCGAGGGCCTTTGTGATGTGATCGCACGCTATCGTCTTCTTGGCCTCCTTTTCAGAGATCTCGTTCGCCTCTGATGATATCAGAGTGATGAACTCGACGCAGCATTCTATGAGCAGGTCGCGACTCTCCCTAGCAAAGGCGACGCCGGCGGAAGGCGGCAAGATTTCCGTGACAATTTTCTGGACGGTAGCTGTTTGTAGGTCAGTTGCCATGCTGCGACGCGGAGAACGTGTTCAGTAGGGCCGAACAAGAAGAGAAAATACAAAAGCTTGTGGTGCTTGTGCTCTTCTGTTTGCGACGATCGCGTTGCTGACAAAACATACCTTTTGGCAGAGAGAGGTCGTCATTGCCTAGCGCCAGGGTCAGTTAATATGCAAAAAAGTCAATCGCAGACGATGAGAAGTAAGTTCCATGGTGGCGCGACAAAAGTAAGCGTGCGTGGGCAGTGGCTTGTTTATCGAGCAGGGCGTCTCACCTCCGAATTCGTGGTCCGACATGTTGCAAACGCGCAGATGGCAAGAAGCGTCGCGGAAGAGTAATGATATTGGAGGCGGGAAAATATAAATAAATGGTATTGAGAAACGGACGTGAGATGCGGTTTGGCAATGCGCCACAGGAATGAGTGGCGAGGCGAGCGACGGCGAGTAATAGGTGCGTCGCCAGAGGTTCGATGAGAGAGCTTTTGGGGGCTGGCTTGGGCAAGCGGGATGGTGGGGTAGCGCCGTCAATTATAGCAGCGCCGCGGGCGTCTGAGAGTGGGAACTGTGAGATTTTTCAGAGAGGCGGGCGCGTCATTGGCTGCTACATGCGGCTTAGCGTAGTCCGACATTGAATGAATCAAATCCCAGTTAAATTAATTATGCATTACTTATAAACTGATCTTTAGGTACTTTCCTATAGTTATATCGCTTTAGAAATACAAGGAAATAAAATGGTTCCAGTCTAGTTAGTGCAAAGCTTTTAAGTAGTAAAGCACCGCTTAGACTAGCTATCTTTAGTTTATAAATCTTGGGAAAATCTGACGATGATAGTGTGAATAGTACTTCTCACGGGGAGTACGAGCCAATCGCAACAGCTGTAGCTTGATGAGTGACTCAACCTGGCTGACGCACTCATTGACGAAGAAAAAAGCCATATCATCTGGAGTCCGGTTTTCAGAGGCAGTGGTCACTATCAAATCGAAAAGTGCGAGGAGAATCACAGATAATATATTATATACACTAGGCACTAGTTATGTGACATGGTTGAGGAACCTTGACGCAGAGCTCCCTTCCCAACATGGTCGGAAGGAGACAGAAAGCTCATGCACTAACAACTCTTCTGTGTGTATATAATACGTGCAGATTTGCTTGTGCCTTCTTATTCGATTACGCCGCACTGTACCTGTGACCACCTCGGGTCAAGCCTAGATGTTTGACCACCGCAAGAGCACGGCGGCAGCAATGACGGGCAAAACGCTGACCAGCTCACCGAGACCGGCAAACTCGGGCGGAATCCTGGCATTGACAAACGCGCCTGCTGCGAGCAGAATGGCAAAAGTGTTGTAGACTAGGCTCCATCCAAAGTTGAACCAGATCCGGTTGACCGACTTTCGACTGACATTCATGATTGCGAGGATGCCTTCGAGATGGGGGCGCATGAGAACCACATCTGCTGCCGACTGCGCAATGTCAGCACCCTGGTTGATGTGTACGCCAATTGTAGCCTGCGCGAGCGCAACCGCGTCGTTTGTACCGTCGCCACAAAAAATGACCGAGTCGAGCTTCTTGACATAGGCTCCCTTTTCTGCCGGGGAGCTGCGAGAGGAGACATTGCTGGAAGAGATGCCGAGTTTGGATGCGCAAGCCTGAACCGCGCCGTCGTCATCGCCCGAAACTAGGTGCACGGAAATATTGCGCTTTTTCAAGGCGTCGACCGTGGCAGCGGCGTCAGGGCGTAGCTCATCCTCGAGACCATATGCTGCAGTTAGGACACCATCGACGGAGAAGCAAAAGACAGTGTGACCATTTGCGAGCATCGGCTGAACAAGGTCGTGGTCAGTCATATTGAGCCAGCGGGAATTACCGGCCTGCAGTTTCTGGCCGCTTGCGGTAGTTTCAACACCTTTTCCGGTAAGACTCTTTGGCTCTGGAACGACGGAGGTTGTGATGCCGCTAGTTTTGAGATGGGCGGCTATAGCAACAGAGACGGGGTGCTTGCTGTTCTGAACAAGACCGTAGAGAAGAGGGAGTTTACTTCTATCCAAGCACTGCTCCGCAGTCACCGAGAGCTTTCCGCGTGTCAAGGTTCCAGTCTTGTCAAATACAACATGGGACGTCTTGTAGCCGACTTCGATCGCGTCGGCAGATTTAAATATGATGCCCTTGTTAGCAGCTACACCGCTGGCAATGACGACAACCATGGGAACCGCCAGACCAATGGCACAGGGGCAAGAGACAATGAGGACCGTGATGGCGTAGGTAATGGCTTGAATGGCAGCTTCGGAACTGGTTTGGTGGCGGATAGTTTTGCCTATAGCGACCCAAATGACAAAAGTAATGATGGTCAAGGTCACCACAACAGGTACAAAGTAGCTTGCAACTTTGTCAGCGAGGTTCTGCAGCTTTGGCTTGGACAGCTTTGCTTCATTGACCATTGCGGCAATCGTATTGATGCTATTTTCACAGGGCAGGCGATCGAGCCGGACAGTCAAAACACCAGGGCCGTTGATGGAGCCTGCAATCACCGCAGATTTGGGATATTTCTCAACAGGCTTGGATTCACCTGTGAGCATGGATTCATCAGTCTCAGAAGAGCCGGCAATGATGGTACCGTCGGTCGGAATTGTGGTATCGGGGAGCACTTTGAAGATGTCGCCGTATTGAAGGAGACGTACATCAATCTCGCGTTCTATGCCGTTTTCAACAAGAATGGCCGCCGAGGCTTGCAGTGACTCTAAGGAGATGGACTCGACGGCCCGCTGACGTGCCAAGGCGGCGACCCATCGCCCAACCATGATCAACGTGACGAGAAGTGTACTGGTCTCGAAGAACTGGCCAGTCGAAAGCGGCTTGCCTGCGAGGAGATAACCAAAGGAAACAACGGAGAAAATGTAGGCGGCGCTGGTGCTCAAGACAATGAGCAGATCCATTTCAATGACTTGGGAAAAGACGAGGGCCTTGAGAGCTTTCGGGTAAAAGGGACCACCAATGACGACTTGAACAATAGTCGCCAAAGCGAACGAGGCAGAGGCGTAGGCAATCTCTCTCTTGGGCAACGGTGCCCAGGCCATGACCAGGACTGGAATAGTCAGAACTGCAGAGAGAAGCGTCGTATATCCAATGTGCTTGACATGTTTGGCACCTGCTTCGAGTGATGCGTCGCCACGTGGAGGTGCAAGATTGAAAGGCTCTCGCCAGGTCTTTTCAGCAAGATCCCGAGGCCCCACGATCTTGGGATCAAACGTGACACGTACAGTCTGTTTGTCAACAGCCACCATCTCTATGATCCCGTCAGGCCAGGCTTGGTCGATAAAGTTGGATGGCTCGCCGGGGATGATCAAGTCAAGACTAGAGCCTTGGTTCTGAATTCGATCGCATTTGAATTCGGTCGTTCGTTCAAGATGCTTGATGACTTCGGCGACGGAGCCAAGGCGAAGATCAAGATTGAATTCAGCACGTGAGAGAACCAGACTCGTTTTGAGATCTTTGACGGCCGGGACGCTAGCAAGAGTTCGACTGAGCTTTGTTTCACAGCCAGTACAAGTCATACCTGAGATGCTGAGAATGACGTGCTCTTTGCCAAGTCCCTGATCTTCAACGTCGGCAATGGCTTCAATGGCCATTTCACTATCAGAGGTGTTCACCGTTTCGAGCAAATCGCAACAAGAGTCTGCACAGCTAGCTGCGGAAGCAGGTGCTTTGCCGCCGCAAGCGTCCGCGCAGCATCCTGCAGCAGCGGGTGGCTCGCTACAGCAAGCATCTGCGCAACTGTTTGCGACCCGAGAAGAGCTGCAGCAAGAGTCGGCACAGGCCTTTGCCGGAGCTGGTGTCTCGCAGCAGGAATCACCGCAGGATTCGTCAACAGGATTCTTTCCGGAGCAAGGACTGGCAGAGGCCTTTGCCTTGGCCGGTGCATCGCCGCATGAACCCGCCGAGGCCGTGACACTTTTGGCAAGCTGCCCACGGCAGCCACCGCCAGAGACCTTCTCAGCGGCCACTGGTGCGCTACAGCAAGACGAAGGGTTAATTGGTGGCTTGTCGTCTTGTCCACAGCACGATCCATCACCTGCCTTGTCACCACTGGCCTTGGCGCAAGAGGACAGCTGCTTAGCATCGGTAGCCTTTTCCTTGCCCTTGCGAGTTGTCATGACCGGGGCAGTCACAGTAGGCGAGCAGCAAGACTTGGCGCAGGCGGGCTTGGAAGGAACCGCGGTTGGCCTGGTGCCGCCGCCGCCGCCGCCGCCGGAGCCTTTGCCACGCAGCCGGAGTCGGTTCTGAGCGGCAACTTCCTTGGTGACACTGCTGCTGCTACCCAAGGATTCAAGCGAGGAGCGGGAGCGGCTCGAGTACGACTCGGCGCGCCGTCCGCTACCGCCGTAGGCAGAGTGCCGATCGCGAATCTCGCAGCACGTCTCCTCGCCGCGGGCAATCAGAGCGCGGCATATACATCCCAGCTGGTTCAGGGTGAGACTGTAGCGGTCGAGAACCGAGGTGCTGTGCTGCGTGCAGGCCTTGCCGTCGGCCGCGCCGTCACAGGCTAGGCCAGATTATTAGCTGGTGAGCAAAAGGTTAAAAGGCTTCCGCTGGGGGCGGCTTTATACGTACTGTCGGGACCGTCCTCACACTCTCGCATGGCGAGGCGATTGAGGCAAGAGGTATCGCAGCATGGACCACTTTTGCCGGCACAGCAGTCGGGAGCCTTGTCTTTGCCTTGGTCCAGGCTGGTGTCGGCGAGGAGAGGGGTATCGTCAGATTCACTGCAACATAAGTTGCGGCAAACGTCCAACTCGGGAGTCGCAGCTGGGGAAGCCTTGACGGGAGTAGAGGGGCAGCAACCAGAGCCCATTTTCTCGATATTTGTTCGGTTTCAATCAATAATACTTTCTGTTTTGTGTCTTTTTTTTTCAGTGTTTGTTGGCTGTTGCTGAGTTCTAGGTTGGAGCTGAATACTACCTACATAAATACCGACCCCACTTCACCGCATCAATAATCTCGATAACACGGACAGCCCTTTTAAATGTATGAATACAGCTCTTCGAGGAAACCATTTTGCCGCGGTTGAAGAAGACATTATCGCTCGAATTGTTAAGCCGGCACATGGGTGGTTCGAGGTGGTTTGGAGGGCGTCGGTAGGTGAAGGCGACAGAAGCATGATCCCTTCCCTCACTACCTCGGTTGAGAGGCCGCCTGTAGATGAAGTTCAAAATGAAAATTATACATTGTAGTTTGATGTAAAAAAAAGAGGCCTGTATCGTCAACAATATATTCTTGCCGAAGAAAGCAGCGTCGTTTGTCTGCGACGTAGCCACAGCTTGGAATATCATCAGCATCCGAAGAGGCCCCCGGCCCTCGAGATTGTACATTAGCCGGCCAGACAATCTCCGCGGCGGCGCCTCACTTTCTATATCGTTGCCCTTGCCTATCACACCTATTTCATCTCAGCGAGCTATGGTATTTTTTAGTAACGACATTTCGCAAACTATCTTTTTGCCTCTTCTGATTCCTCCCAATTCGTATTATTTCAAGTACTTTTAATCGTGGTTTAGATCCCACAAGCTATTCACCGTGACATGATTTACCCAGCTGCCATTCGTATTGTCTTTTTGCAGTGTAAAGCCAATCTCCCTCTTTTGCCCCGGTAAGAGCACAAATGCGTTGTCGTCAAAGAAGCCCACCGTATCTGCAGGGTGCGTCAGCCAAGTGTACAGTGACACACTCTCAGTCGCCTCCACAGTAAACTTGCCCGAAGCCTCGTCGTGTGTCAGACGTAAGCCAGGGTTCGATATCTTTGCCTTCTTGGGTGGCGTGGGGAGGAACGAGACTTCATGCGTAAATCTTTCCATGGTCTCGGAGTTTGGAAGCTGGCCGTGCGCTTCCACTGATAGTAAAAGCAACGCATTATCGAGGCCCGCAAGTCCAAAAGAGCCTCGCAACGCAGCACCGTGCACTTTGGTGCTGCCAATAGCATCAACGGTGAAGTTGATAGTCTTGGGGAAGCCGAGATTGTCCTTGAGTGCCTTTCCTTGCAGATCGACCCATCTCATGGAAACCTGTCCCGAGACGGCTTGCCACAAGTCTGAGGTGACCCAAATCTCGAGATTCTTCAAAGCGCTATTCCAGGAAGTTGACACGACAACATTTTGATAGCCGCGGCGAATATAGTATGGAAGAACTTTCCAGCGGCCGCCATGCTCGAGCGCCGCCCAGCTCGGCGCCTGCCAAACATCATTGAGCTGCCAAAACAGAGCGCCTCGCTGTCTCTCTTTTCCCCCACTTCCTCGACGATAGAACTGAATCTGGCTCTGGTAAAAGTCGGCCTGAAACAGTTGCGTTGCGTGACACCATGCGCTGAAATGTTCGATTGAATCCGTCTTGTTGGGCAAAGGGAAGTAAGCTTCAACAGCAGCCGTCATTTCGCCCATGCCCCTTAAGCTCTTGGACACATCCGCGACCAAGCCGCCGGGTGGATAATGGTGATTCCGGGACACAATCACGGATGAGTTGAAGTGCAAATCCTCGTCACCAATGGCTGTTCTCCACGTCTGCAAACTCGGCATGCTATGAAAACCAAACTCTGTCGCGAAACGGCCAACAGGATACGTGCTTTCGTCAAATGCAGAGGCGGCCGAGTAATTGTAATGCTCCGTATCCCCGTAAAGATGGCCAATTGTCTTGTTCTCATACACCTGCACCATGGGTACAGGGAGATTCTTGTCAATTGTTGACCAACCGTTGTTGCCACTGGATGGGGTATAAGAAATCGATCGTGAGTTGGCAGCCACTACTCGGAATAGAGTATCAATGTAAAGATGCTCATACTGACCCACATAGAGCAGATAATTGTCCTTGTCGGCCATTTTTGCGATTGGAAGCACAAGATTTTCAATCTCATTTCCACCAGCCCAGCATGCCAATGATGGATGATGGTTCACTCGACGGACATTGTCAGTCGCCTCCTTGCGCACGTTGTCAACAAAATGAGCGTCATCTGGATAAAGTGCATCTCCAAACTGAAACTCGCTCCATAAAAGTATACCACGCTCATCGGCCATGTCGTAGATGAAGTCGGGAAGATAGGACCCGGATGACCAGACGCGAAGCATGTTGAAGTTTTGATGCTGCACGGCGTCAAATAAGTCACTCATTTGTTTCGCATTGGCTCGCGGCCAGAAAACGTCTGGCGGAACAAGGTTTGCGCCTTTGACGTAAAACTGATGCCCATTAATCTCGAAATGCCAGTCGTTTCCGGGCTGCTTTCCTGACGCCACCTCCTCATCGCTCGTTGGTCCGGTGCTGAGAAGAATTGTGCGGAAGCCAAAGCGACGTGAGGAGATCAATGACGGAGAAGAACATTTTGAGCTTCGAACCGCGAGCTCAATGACGTACATGCTTTGGTTTCCCATGCCATTTGGCCACCATAGCGTCGGCTTTGAGCTGTCAATTTCGACACTGCCGCTAATTGTACCGTTCGAGGTAAGGAGGTTCGATAACCTGCCGCGAAACAGCACGTCAGAGCCTGGCAAAGTACTCGTGATTGTAGCATCAATATACGAGCCTCTTGGCAGGTTTCCGATGTAGTCGATGCTCGCATTCACTACCCAGGGTTGGGTCTGGTCTGGGGGAAAATTATTCGTTTGACCTTGTCGATAGACGTCAACAACAGTGTTGACCGCGTGCAAATATTTCGCATCCCGAACTCGGACGATTCGGCCACTTTTCCATGGTCCTGCAGGAGTAAATGCAGGGCCCCAGTCCCAGCCAAAGTCAGACTGCTGCTTTCTAACAAAATTCCTATTCGGAATCTCAAATGACCATGCTGCAATGAGTGCTTCCGACCATGCTGAGAAAATTAGTGTACTGGTAAAAAAACGGCATCGTGGCATACCCTCGCTATTTATACTTACGCTGTGGCTCACTGGCATTTATCGCGTTGGCAATCTTGGGTGCGCTTCCAAAGTTGAGGGCCACAGTCGGAGCGCCGCTGCATTTTGACATGGCAGACGTAACGTCAAATTGCCACTGGCGAAATTGATTGTCTGTACTGCCGATGTGCTCGTCGCAAAATTTGACAGTTGCAAACGTATCCAATCCATCGAACACGAGCCAAGTTGTCAGCCCTCCATCGCGTGTGCTGCGACATCATGTCAGTCAAGAAGGTAATGACACCTCTGGAAGAAGCTTACAGATTGGTCAGGGGATCACTTGTATATGTCCAATTCTGGTTCGCTACCCATCGCAGATCAACATCGTTAAAGCCACGGAGCCTATGTCGAGCATTGCGTCAGTCATGATCGGATGTAACACCACTGCTTATATGCACATACGGATCCTCTGACTTTGTTAGCATCATCTGAATGCAAAGCGAGAGTAACGTTTCCTACCAATAACGCCAGCAGCGAGCAAGTCCAGATGGACGTGTGATGGGAATGCTCCGGGTACTGTAATATTCCCGTGCTCGTTGGTCAACATCCACTTTTCGTCATCGAGCAAATGAATGTTGGCGCCATTTTGAACCGCTGTTGCAAGCCCAACAGCTAGATTGACACACAGAGTGAGGGTGTGAATTAGGTGTGATGGCATCATCACCAATACCAGTGTTCAGAGCGACCGTCAACTGCAGTTGGCTTCAAGCTGGCCAAGGTCAAAGAAAGAGAGCAGATGCATTTATTATGTTTGATTTATTGGGGTCAACAGGCATGCTTGCTTTTGCTGCCGAAAATTGGTGCATCATAGCGCGTGGTACAATGTAACCGCCAAAGCTTACTTGCAGATTGAGGGATGCGGAGATGCTAGACGCTATGGCTAGTAATAGAAGGACGCGTTGACGTGGAAATAATAAACAACGTCAGTGCAGTAGCGCATGGAATGCTGAATCTCAAATTTGTTGCAACATCGACTTTCGTCATTACGTTCACAAAAATGATGGTCAAAATGATTTTATCATGGCTATGGCGCTGTAGGCACCAGAGGTTTGATCATGATTCAACATGTTAAATTTGCCATGATCGCTATTGTTATACCGTACATGGCATGTCGTCATCCATCATTTTGAGCTGAATTCAGTCTTCATTATTAGTACCCTGTATAAATATTCACCTACTTGAGTATTGACAAGCACAAACGAGGGAGATGTGGGCAACAAAGTGCGAAAAAGTTCAGTCTGCAAGAGTAATGGCTGCAGTATCCAATCAGGCATACTTCTTGGCGGAAGCTGGTTTCCCAAATCCAACGCCCAACAAGAAAAGCGCTCGGACGACGGTGAGCACAAGATAGCTTCCAGCGAGGCCCTTGTCATCAGAGGTCCAGGCGGTTGGGCTCAGGCGACTTTGATTGGCCAGCGAGTTGTAGATGCCGCTCAGACCAGCAATATCGGAGAGGAAGAGGGAAAACTGCAAGATGCGCCACACACCCAGATCCTGGGTATAACGGGGCAGCACGGCTGATACGACAGCGACGGCCAGCGCAAGGCCGCCCGTCTGGTGGAAGAGGAAGACCTGGCTCGGGTCGTACGTAGACGCAGGCGCGGATGCCTTGACCGCTGCATCCGGGTCTACAAAGCTGAGATAGACACCCCAGAGCGCCACGAGAGGATCGAGGTTCTTGAAGAAGAAGCTGTAGAAGCCGGGGACGACCGAGGCAGAATTGATGGCCATTGTAGTGGCTGCAAAGCAAAGTTGGGTTGATGAGAGGTCAGCTGCTGTGATTGAGCTGATGAGAAGTGAGCTGCTGCGACTGGGATTGATGGTCAATGACTAAGAAAGATACGAAAGAGACGTGCAAGATCACGACGAGCTGGCGAGCTGGCCTAATTATAGTGCTGAGCATTTTCGATTAGCAGATAGCATCTCAGCTATGCGAGCCGCTAAATCATGACCGCTAACCAGCCACAGGCCTACTGCTTACAGCGTCTTCCACATCAAGTGGCTGGCTTCCTTTACCAGAGCCGTGCCGCTGTGACAAGCAACGTCTTTTCATGGCCATCTTGTCAACTTAAAAACCAAATCAAAATACCAGCTTGGTTTCCCCGCCACTGTCGCAATTGACCCTAAACGTGCGGCGCGTGAAGGATGTTTGTAACTGTGAGTAGTGGACCAGTAAAACTTGTGCTGTGTTCCGTATAAACAGTCGAGATCCTATTCTCGGTCTTATCAACTAAAATAGAACAAAGGAACTTGAGATGTGGTTCAAGATTGACCTGAAATCGTATTTGATGTCGAATTTATACTGTACTGCGCCGGCGCTTTTATATCTGACTACTGTAACAAGAACATTGTCAAGGTTCAGTTTCTCCCTCCTGATCAACAACATTTCAATTTAAAAGAATGACTGGAACGATTGCAGAGGCGAAAACCGATGCCAGTAGCGCAGGACTTGACATGGCGGACAAGGACTCCTTCTGAAGGAAGAACCTTCCGGCTCGAGCAACTTCATCCTTGCTATTGGTGGCCAGCATAAAAATTGCCACACTAACTGCGTAGACAAGATTTTCTAATCGAGCGTACTTGTCCAATTTCCGCTTCTTCAGTTGCGTTGCTGCCATCTCCCAGGCAAAGACGGCTATGCGGCACATGATGATGTTGCTCAAGACCACCCCGATGGTCGCCAGCAACGGTCCCAGAGGATGAGCGCCTTGAGCCTTTTCCGTTGCCAACATGGCAGAAGAGAGGATAACTTGTCCCAAAGCAAACATGCTCGCAGGACTACACATCATCTCCGCGGCATCGCTTCTTAGCGGATTGAGCACCAGACGCGCAACGCCGTTTGCCAGGACTGTTGATAGGCCAGCTTCGCCCATCTTTGAAGCGCCGTGATTGGCGAGAAGCACAGTCTTTGAGCAGAAAATGGCCACATTCAGTGCTGCTGCCAGTAGCTGGATGCCGGGGTACTTGTCTTTTCGCGCAGAGTTGCAGCACCCAGCAAAATAGCAGCCGACACGTCCAATTGCCTCCCCAAGAGGCAGACTGACTGCAATCGCACTAAAGAGGAGTCTATTGTTTACCCTCAAATCAAAGCATGGACAAATAATCAGCCAAGCTGCAGAAAACAGTATGGCGCCTTGGATAGAAATCCCCTTGAAGCCTGGGAAGAATCGTCGCGCGACTCCTGGTGGCACGGACGATGACCGCGCAGGCATTTTTTGCTGTTCCGTCCTTGGCCCGGCTGAGACTGATAGCGCTTGGTTCATAAACTTGGCGCCGAATAGACCGCTGAATACGGTCCCGAGACCAATGCGGGCCAGGTCAAACAGTTCTCTTCTCGGAAGCGGCTTGCGGCTCCCCAGTTCGTACAGAGCAGTGGACGAGAGTTCAATAGACGCTATTGATACGCCCAGGAGCAGGCTATAGACGGAAATATGTCTCGTCTCCTTTCCAATCTTGAGCGCAAAGTGTGCTGGGCGGGCAGGCTGGAATGATACATAGCCTTGGCCCGCGAGCAACTTGTAAGCCATGTAGCTGACGAAGCCGGCGTAGAATGCGATTGAGATGAAAAAGGCCAGACCAACGTTGCTGACTAGTGCTGGTCGAAATAGATGGGTTTGCAGCAAATAAATTGCTGGCAATGTTCGACAGAGTAGGATAGAAATGGCGTTGCACAAAGTAAGGCGCTTGAAGAGCTTTGGGTGCGAGTGACATAGCCCTGACCCGCGGATGAAGGCTCGGGAACTGGAGAAGACTTCCGTAATGAGTCCAGCAAAGATTAAATAAATGGGAGCCAGATTCAACCTCTTCGACATGGCAATTGACACTGACAAGAGTGATAAGACGTGATGAACCAGGTAGAAGTGAGTGCCGCCCAACAGCGGCATCTCTGCTGTCCACAGTACAAGTCTCGTCTGCAGGCAAATATCAGAATCCAGTGTCAGTGGACCTGTTGCGTAGCCATTTCGGCCCGCGGAAGAAAAGAGAAACGCCCGACCACAGAAAGGAACCGAGACCACAGTTGCTAGAACGCCGATAATGAAAACCAGTAGCCCTATGGTCTTGCGTGTGCCGAATTGCCGAATCAAAGAGTCGTAGAATTCTCGGAAAACATGCCTCATGATCCGATGAAGAATGTAAATGAGGACATAATACAAAAATACACCCAAAAGTAGGATTTGGGCACCGTCAAGTTGTAAGAGGTCAAAAAGAGCCATGCTGTTGTACTTGCTGAACGATAGCAGAGAGAATGAGTATTTACAACTTCTATCCAATCCCAAAAACTACAGTCCCGAGCCTTCCTTTAAATATGATTTATTCGTATTGTCTCGGAGACTTCAAGAATCTTCATGTTCTCGGCGAGAAAACTAGACTAAGTCCTCGCAAAGCAAACAAACCTCGTTCAACACTTCGAGGCTGCTTGCGGGCGCGCCGCTGTGTGGAGGAAGGATGAACTTGCAGAACCCTCAACTATGCGCAAACAAGCCAATGTGAATGTGGCGTGCATACTTGAAAATCATGACCTTGAACGTGTCCTCAAGCCGGATAGATGACTGACCACCATGCATGTGGACGGGCAAAGCTTCCTGCCTTTTCTTGCTCCGGACCTGGTCTAGGCTGGACAGGCGCATCGCCGGGACGGGAAACTGAGGCGAGGCCCCCAAAAAGCATAGTTGGGCTGTCCACAGCCTCGCGCGGCTGACTATACGAGCCGATCAATAGTTTATAGAAATTGGTAAAGAAGGCTGTGATTCGGTGCGGGCGAGTTGCCTTGATCCAGTTGCAGTTGGGCGCACCTTGCCGAGCCGTTGCGACCTTCAATCCTCCTCCACACCAACAGGGTCAGCTGGTACAACTATTAATCCATTAGTCAGACATGGCGCTGGTCGATAGGTTACATCTCGGTCAGTAGCTGCATGTAGTTTTTGTTAAAAAAAGGTTGCTTAACCTGCCTTTTCTGCATTGAAGATCGCGACTGTGAGCAGCCGTTGCAGCGCCTGCAAGTAAAAGTCAGGCTGCCTGCCAGCCGCCCAAACTAGGCAGAAAAGACCGAGACAATGTTGGTGGGTTCAAAGGAATAGGATTGACATGTCTGGCTGCCAATAGAGTAATTCATCGCCCCTCAAACGGGCTCCGAGTTGTTGTGAACAGGCGATTGAACTGCTGCCGCGACCTCACCAGCGCCAATTGCGGTGATTCACAAGCTGTCAGCAGCAAGAAGTTATAAGATAGCAGCAGCAAGAAGTAGTAAGATAGCAGCAGCAAGAAGTAATAAGATAGCAAGCAGTCGTAGTTTTTTCCGATTTAGAGAAAGAAAGCACATTCATTCTGTACATAGTCTGAAAGGCATAAATTTGTAACCGGGACTATAGTGCACAGTCAATGACATGTAGAAGAAGACAATTCAAGATTATCCTGCGCCAAACGAATCCCCCATAAACAATCATGCAGTTTTACTTTTACTTTTGACACGAGCCACGACAATAACGGCTCGCAGAACCCCAGTGTTGTCAATCCAGTTAAACATCTTCTTTGCCACACCCATACTACCCATGGATATCCCGTACGGCTTCAGCAATCTCTGCTGCCTCTCAATGTGCGCCACAAGCCCGCCAAACACATCCGACGTCACGTCCCGAATCTGCACAGCATCTCTATCGTACCCCGCGTCCACGAGCTGCTCAACGTACTGATGCTCCGTCATAAACGCACCCAGCGGGCACCCAGCCATGCGGCCCACCAGCTTCGCCGCCATCCGCGCCGAGAACAAGGCCCTTTCGTTGAGCAGCAGGTCAAACGCCATCAAGTCGGCCTTGAGCTCGCGCGCCGCGTACAGCAGCAGCGGCGTCCGCGACGGCGCAAAGTGGTACATGCAGTCGAGCGCCAGGAGCCAGCGGTGACCCCCGTGAAAGGCCTCGTCGGCGATGCCGTCGACGAGAGCGCGCACCGGCCGCGCCCACGACTCGGGCCGCGCCGCGTCGGCGCCAAACAGGCGAAAGGACTCGGGCCCGAGCCGGACCCCGTGGCGGTTGGCGCTGGCAACCTCGCGCTCGACGCGCTGATACGCAACCTGCAGCTGCGCCTCGTTGAGGGTGAGCCCGACGTAGCGAAACGTCTGCCAGGCGGGCGCGTCGAGCGCGCGCGCAATCTCCACCGTCTGGTCGCCGCAGCCAAAGCCCACGTCGAGAACGGCGATGCTGCGCCGGCGTCGGAGCTCCTTGTCCGCGACGGCGTCACCGGTGAGCAAGTCGGCGGAGCAGAGAACCTCGCGCAGCAGCGCGGCGCAAGCCTGATCCATCTGCTGGATCTTGTCGCCGCGCGGTGTCCGCCTAATAACCGGGGAAAGTTTGTGTGTGTGAGCAAAGACCACGTTGCACGGAGAAAGGGGAGGGGGGGGGGTAACATCATTTCAAGTCAGCCCGCTCTTACCAGTAGCCCATGTTCATCCACATGGGCTGCATGGGCACACGGATATTCAGTTTCCAATGAGCCAGGTCGTAAATGTCATTGCGGCGCAATATCGGCACGAGGCGCATCAGGAGCGCCAGCACAATTGTGGCCAGACAGCCCGCCGCTGCACCAAAGAGAAAGTCATTCGAAACTCGGTCGCCAAGGGATTCTTTGCGCCATTCGTAAAGCCTGTCCATTTCCGGTTCACGAAAGATTTCAACATTGAGTGGCTTGACAGGCAGGATGCAAGTCAGAGAAATGGCGTTTCACTATGGAGTAGTTGGCGTGGGATCTCCGTGTCCCACAAGCAAACGAGGCTTACCTACTACTGTATGCATCTTAGCGCGCCACACCGCTATACAAGGCCGTAACCAGCACACCGAGTAACCACACATATAAATACCACTAAAAACGTTGTTTTTTTCTTTTTAGTATAACTTTAAAACTACTTTATTATAAATTCTAAAATAAATTTAGTATTACAACTTACATCTTATATTACTATACCATATTTTTCTTTTATCTAATATTTATCTTATTCAATCATTAAATAAGAAAAATAAAAACTTAAACTTTTTTTTCTTTTTCTTTTATATTTTCTTAGTTTATTATTTAAATAAACTATAAATTCGTAAAAGCAAGTTAGTACCTTATACTTTAAAGTATACTTTAAAATACTAGATCTATTTTAAAATTTATTATTAAGTGGTTAAAGAGTTATAGTTATTAGAAAAAGTAGACTTTTAAACTAGTATTTATATGTGGTGGTTACTCGGTGTGCTAGTTACGGCCATGTACAGCACCCCTTAGCAAAGTGGGTGCGGGCACATGTACGATACGTACTGTTTTGCGGAACGCTAGCCATCCATGACCTGGTTATAGGGCCAGGAATGACGATGTCTACCTATTGAGAAGTTTTCAGGCAGAAACAGTCGTCCTCATAAAAAAGAAAATCAAGGCTGAATCTTGCAAATGAAGTCTAGACCGAAAAATTGCATCATTTGATAGAAAAATGATGCACTTATTCATAACAGACCCTTTTTACCCGCCTTCCGGTTCTGGTGGTTTTTGAGGGGGTATCAGCCTCTTTCTCCCTGATATCAAAGTACCAGTGCACTGCTTTTGGACTGAATGAGTTAAATCTGTTAGGCTCCTGGCGTCTTCTGACTTTATTCTCGAGCTCTGGATGGCGTTTGATGAATCTGGCTACCCATTTCTGCCCCAATTCCTGCCTCTTGTTTGTTGCTTCAATATGGCCACAATGCAGGCTCGAATCTGACTGTGGGAGGGAGCATAGCCTAAGGACTCTTGACGGAGAACCCAAGAGACTAAATTAGCCTCCTGATTTATGGTAAAGTATCGTTTAGGCGGGATTTGATCCTCTAAAGCTGTCTGGCCTTGGATTCAGTTGGATATAGACTGCTGTGGGATGCCGTACTTCCGGGCGGCATGGTGTTGCGATAACCCATTTTTCTGTCATGTCAAATATGGCATCAGCCATACGGATTAGTTTCCTCTGTATACACACTCCGAGGCCGCTTTTTAGCCATTTGCTGTGTGTTATTAGGGGGAGCTGGCAAGTGGAGAGGTCATCAGGGGGCTGACAAATTTTGCAAGACAGGGTGGCCACGGACCATACGTCCGACACGACCAGCCTTAAAATAAGCTTCAGTCATTTTGTTTATATCTAATCCGTAAAATAACAACTGTGCGAATATATTTATTATTAATATACAGCCACGTATGAATGACTCGTATAAAGGATAATGCATGATTTTGGCCCTGGTCTCGAGTTTGATTTTTTTCGCCGCTTGACTCAGGTCTGTATACGTAATATTGCAACCTTAACGAGTTTCGCAGCCGTCTGATGTTGAGCTCATAACGGCGTATAGGTCGTCTACAAATAAGTGGTCGACCACAATTTTTGGGTCGACAGTGATGAGCGCGGAAGGGACCCCTTTGCTTATTATAATTATCCCTTTGGCAGTGGAGGAGGTGTTACCGGTTTTTTGAGTACTGGTGACTGGTGACGTGACTCGGGATACATCGAAGAGAACCCACAGAGCTGGCCACGGTGGGCCACGGCGGGCCACATCACAAAGTACCGACTATCCCCTGTACAGCAGCCGTACAGCCGTATAGTGGCCAGTATAGCGGCCGTATAGTGGCCGTATAGTGGCTACAGCAGCCCTACAGCAGCCCTACAGCAGCCCTACAGCAGCCCTACAGCAGCCCTACAGCAGCCCTACAGCAGCCGTATAGTAGCTACAGCAGCCGTATAGTAGCTACAGCAGCCGTATAGTGGCTATACACTAGCTATAGCAGCTATATAGCACCTTAAGTCCTAAGTCACTAGATTTATGAGGAGTATAGGTGACTTATAAAAGGGCTCTTTTTGTCTATATAAGACGCTTTTTTATGCCCCTATTAGAAAAGGTACTTTATTAACTAGGGTTAGATTATGGCTGACTAGGGGGTTGAGTAGGGTAGTTAAAGTTATGTATTTTTATAAAGAAAACTAGGTTGTGTCACTAGTCACCACGTGCTTAAAAAAACTTAACATCAGGGCATAAAGTAGAAGGCGAATATGCCCGTCATGCTGGCGCGCTCTCCATTCTGCGTCGCTTGGCGTCGTAATATAGTTAGCCACTCATATAGTCATGTTGCAGAGAGACCATCAAGTCTTCTATCCTGGTCTCAGATGCTCCAGAAATTCAACATCTACCCCAGAAGCCATTCCCAGGCGCCTGCCCGGTTGCATTCGTCGGCCATCTGTAGTGTCTCCGATGGCAAAGGCGAGGAGAAGAACATGAATTCACAGAGGTCGCATTGCAGGCGGAGCGCGAGGCAAAGTATCGCCGGTTCGGTCGCACGCTGCGGCTGGTCCTGGCAGAGGACGGGCCGGCACAGTTTATTGTACAAAAGCTGTAAATCTATCTAGACTTTTAGACAAACGACCATGAAGCATCTCAACTAAACCCCCATGTGCCAGACTTTGGCCAGAATTGCCAGATCAACAGGTATTTACTACTCGGAAGAAGTTGTAACACACCTGGAGGAAACGAGGAAGCACACGGAAACGGCATAGCAATAAACTGACATGAACACCAGGCCCAGAGCCAATGCCTGGAACTGCACGGGCGGCACGTGGCAGCAAAGATAAATCGAGAGTACAGTCATAACGAAGGCTCCGCCCGTTTTCCAACTTTGATCGACAGAAGGTTACGATACGACAAGACGATCCAGGTTCGGTTGTAGGGAAATTCTACGGAGATAGGGGAAGAAATCGCCAGCTGGTTAATCCACAAAAAAACTCAATTCAAGGGCGTACCACGTGTAGAACGAACGATTGGGCTTGAATCTACTACCACTTTATACATCTGACATTTTAAGAACAGTTCGCGGCTTTGAATTTCATGCGACAGTGGAAGAATCAGGAAGGACAACTCTAATTTCTTACACTTGAGAGAACGGAGACAGACACAACAGCAGGGCGTCCTCTAGACATCCCTTGGCATGCGACCCTGGCTCATGTGATTTTCATCAAAGTTAGGTGAGGCGCAGCTCGGAGTTACGTGTCCTTTTCCACTGAAAAAGGATCATAATCACGGCCTTGGACAATGACAGAAACAATAAGTGGAATGAATGGATAAGGAGAATAGTCAAAACCTTTGGCATAGCCAGTGAGCTGTATTGACTGTAAGCCACTAGGCGTAATAAAACAATGATGAATGCATGAGAGGTTGCTCTACATGAAACAACTCTTTTGTGGACTATGGGGCTTGGATTCCCTGAAGTCTGAAGTCGGGATGGTATACAGCTATTATAGATTAATAATGCATTAATTCTATCCTATGAGCCTTGATGCCGTAATTAACTCTGAATAAACGGCTGTGCGTTAGAAAAGATCCCTGACATAGGTATAATACTTTTATTAAAGCTAGCCTAGGCGAGGATAAAGCTTTATCCTACTTACAAAGGACGACCCTATGTACATCAACCTATCGTCTTCTCCTAGGTTCAGTAGCGTAGACCCTTTTCTTTATGACTTATAACATCCTTGATGCTGCTAAGAAGTGGGCGGCCGACGTGAACACTTTATTTCCTGGCCGAGTGTCATTTTGTTATTTTATGCGCCATACTAGGCAGCGCAAATAAGTTCGCATGCGTGAATCAAATTAACTGCCGCCGCGTTATCTCCTCGCCTGGTACAATATAATGCAGCTCCCTGGCATCACACTACGACTTTATCCTCTCCTTTATTTCTTCAGTCAATCGTTTCCTTCCTTATCCCATGATGCTTCCCATCTTTCGCGTCATCGCTACCGGCATTATCGCCTCGGCCGCTTGTGTTTGGGCAGTCGAAGCTGATCAAGGCACACATCAACAATGTGGTGCATCTCAGCCTCCCCTTCGCCTTGTGGATCTCGTACCAGAGGCCATGAATCAAGGTCCCAACATTACGAAGCGTGACGGACAACAATATGTAGTGCCAACGTATATCACTGTTCTCGCTAGAGACAAGACCGTCGCCGGTGGCTACATTCTGGTATGGTTAACAATGGCCACATGCGCAATAATACAAACTAAATGAAATTAGGAAAGCCAAATCGAAGAAGAAATCAAGTGGGTAAACAAACACTACGAAGCTGTCAATATCTTCTTCGATGCTTCTGTTCAAAAAGTTCGTTATGATATTACCCCCGAGATTTTTTCTTCCGGAACTTTTAAGGCAAGCCAAAAAGAGACAATTATCAACTACTTCCCCGAGAGGAATGAAGCCTCGCTTAACATTGTTTTCGCGTTTCGCTGGAACGATAGGGATGGCATGGGCAATGTAGGGCAGTCTTGGTGGCACACCAGCAGCACCATCTATCCTGACGGACATGAGGAAGTAACAAGAACTGAGGCCGTGTTTATATCCTCTGCAACTATTCCTAAGGGCTCTGATCCAGCAAACAGACATAGACAGGTCCTCATCCACGAAATTGGTCACTGGCTGGGGCTAGGCCACACGGATAGCGACGAGTGCTCTTCGGAAAACGATGGTATCTGGGATACCCCCCCTCACTTAACAAGCGGTCTTCATGACGAGAAATTTTTTTGCGCAAAAGTGGGTGAGTTGAGCACCTGTGGCTACGCAGACCCGATCCAGAATGTCATGAACTCGTTTAATATGTATGTATACAATGTTGGCCTGTTAAACTGGATGAAATGTCTATCCAATACTAACACGAATTATAGAGTCGGCTGCGAGGGCTACGAGTTTACACCTGGCCAAATACAAAAAAAATGAGAGACATCTGTGCAGCCCGCCTCGCGACGCAGTCCAAGATCAATGTTACCCCTAAGCAACAGCAGCAGGAACAGAAGCCGCAGAAGCCGCAGCAGGAACAGAAGCCGCAGGAGCCGCAGCAGGAACAGATGGAAAAGGCTTGGCAGAAATTCATGCAAGATCGAGTCGACCAGATGCAAACAGAATATGATCAAGTCTCGCAGGAGGTCGAGCAAGCAAATCGGGGCTCTAGCAGCCAGGACCGACAAGACATTAAGCAGAAGGTACTCGACTGTTTCAACACGGCGCTGCGCGAGAACACTCAGCAGATACAACGCTTTAGAGACTGGCAGAACAGCCGCACTGGAGAGGACGGTGAGGATGACAGATACTGGGATTCTATTGATGTTGCATTTCAGCGGAAGAGGGATCAGTGCAAAACTTTGGCGCAGCCCACCACGTCTAACCAAGGAAACGGACTTGACGACTGTCTTGGAAGGGCGAAACAGAGCTACGACCAGCAGGTTACAGAAATCAACAATTGGGCCAAGACACGCAGCCAAGAGCTTCAAGCCCAGGAAGCTGACATTACACTATGGCAGGAGATGAACCAAGAATTATTCGGGTACCACCAATCGAATTCTCAATGGTATGAACAGCAAAAGGAGGAGTGCAAGAATAGGAGATAGGTTAGGAAGGGCGGAGCAGATAGTTGACAACTAAGGGTTATATATATACACAAAATATTAGTAGAACGAATATTTAGGTTTTAAAAATATAGTAAATACATAGTCTATAGTAACGAGTAGAGCATCGGCAGATTATCTGCGTTTAACGATTTTCTTTGCCCAACCTTAGCTGCTCTGAGCCTACGATGGTAGCTCTCTAGTCCTGTCTGAATTGACCAGTATAAAATTTTAGAGCGGAATTACCTTGGACCGACTGTAGCTAGATATAATCCTGGTTGAATGAGTCCAAATGCCCTGCACTAGTTAGCTAGATTTTAGGCCAGTAGTCAGTATGCAGACCACTGCGGGATAGCTAGCTTATCCCTTTATATTTACCTTTATAAGGTAACGTGGTTAATAAGCGAGTCACGCAGATAAGCGAGTCACACACCTACCCTAACCTTATAATATTTAACTATTAATAATTTAACTATAATATAAAAAAAGATTTAAAACTAATTAAAATCCTCTTTTTTACTAGTTTTTATATCTATATAAATATATATATTATATCTAGTCT